TAGGCACACTGTGTTTTTAGGTACACTTTGTTTTTAGGCACACTGTGTTTTTAGGCACACTTTGTTTTTAGGCACACTTTGTTTTTGGGCACACTGCTTTTTTAGGCACACTTTGTTTTTAGGCACACTGTTTTTAGGCACACTTTGTTTTTAGGCACACTTTGTTTTTAGGCACTCTGTGTTTTTAGGCACACTGTGTTTTTAGGCACACTTTGCAGATAGAGTTTTTCTTGTAAATCCAAGTGTGTTGCTCAGTGATGGCTCGAGGTCTGATTTTCTTCGTATCTGTTAGTTTACCGTCTCGGGACGCTCGTTGACTCCAGCTGGTGTGTACCTTCTGTTTCTTGCACCATGCTCCTGAACTGACCCCTCTCTAACGGTGTGTGAGTTGGGACAGTTTGCTCGACTGTAATGAGGAATTAGGAGGTTGTAGAAAAAGAATAGTTCTGTTAGGTGGCTAAAATATGAATGTAAAACTTGAACTTGAAGTTTGTGATAGTCAGTTAAGACATATGTGGAACAACACATAATACTGTATATTGAGTATATCGATTCATCACCCATCTTTTATTAAAAGGAAACACCCAGTTATTCATAACTTTATCTTTCTCTCAAGACAGGTTTAGAGATTCTTTGTTCAAATAGAAATTGATCAATGAAAAGATTGTTGTTTGATGTTGGTTTAAATCAGTTTTAAACATTTACAAGTGCATTATATCAATAGAAGGTCTCCCCTAACACACTGAGACAGATGTGCAGTGTGTGTGTGTTGTACGTTATTTGAGGTATTTCCCAGCAGTTTCCACAGAACACATTACAGTAATGGTTGCTAATGGCCTGTTCTTCTATCTCCTGTGTTCGTCCTGTCCTTGTAGCTACGACAGTGAGGGTCGTCTGACAAATGTGACCTTCCCTACCGGTGTGGTAACCAACCTCCACGGAGACATGTCCTCAGGAGCTGTTGCAGTGGATATAGAGACCTCAGGAAGGGATGAGGATGTTTCCATAACAACAAACCTGTCATCAGTAGACTCCTTCTACATTTTGGTGCAGGGTAGGTTCTAATATGAGGAGGACGTCTGGTAGAAAGAAGAGCAGCACTCGTGATTATGATGCTGGCATTTTGCTGTTTCGCTCTACTCATTTTCTGTTGGTTGGGTTTTATATTTGTTTATGTGCTATCAATGCACAGAAACAGTGATGCTAAACTATCGTATATTTTGTCCACTATTTGCAAATGAGTTTCTGACTCAACCTAAAGTTTGAGCAAGTCTGAATTCAATGTCAAACTCGTATTTGTAGCATAAACAACTACTTGCTGTTCCAAAGTTCTGTACATACACTGCAGTAAAATACAATAAAGAACAAAACAACGCACAAATATTAGTTTTAAAAATACAAAAAAAAAAAAAAAATTCCAATAAAATGAGTACAAACAGCTAAAAATGTAATAAAATAGTTCATTGTTTATCACAGGGGCTCCGTACCCTGAAGCCCTGCAATAAGTGAAAAACCGCAAAGTAGGAATAGTAGTACAAGTAGTATTTATTTTAGCATATACTGTATATATATGTATACAGTATATATACAGTAGTCCCTTGCCATTTCGTGGTTCGTTTATTGCGGACTCGCTCTATCGCAGTTTTTCAAAATAAGATCGAACATGAAACACAAATGGCTGGTTGATGGATGAGCCGCACGATCGGCATGGAAATTTATTTAAAATAAATTATTTTAAATGTTTTAGCACCTGCTGCACCTTTGTGCAGCCCACACAGCAGGATAAGCTTCCTGCTGCAGCTGATCAGCTGTTCTCCGTGCAGAGCGGAGAAGTGGGCGTGGCCAAGAACGTTTTTATAGGTGACAAAGAGCAGCGGAGGCAGAGAGCTGAAACCATGACATCTGTCTCTTTTAGAGCTTTTAGAGTTTATGTACACACACACATACGTACATATACTTGCATAAATATTATCACCTTCAACAGGGAGTAAAACCAACATAAAGTGTGTCTTAGGTGAATGTTTAAAAATTGAAGCATCTGACCACTTCTGATATGGAGCAGCAGAGCATCCCATAATTTAGAGGCAGCAACTATAAAGACTGTCACCTCCTGGATTTAAGTTGAAAGCTGCAGCATCCAGAAGGAGCTGAGATTGTGAGCTCGGTGCTCTGGTTGGAGCATGATGGTGCAACAAGTCACCTGTGTGTTCAGTGGTCATTTATTGGAGTGTTTTAGAACAAGAAATAAATCCTAAACTGTATCTTGAAACTGACAGGACTCCAGTGTCCTGTGGCATCGTCCCTTATCTGCTGCTGTACTATCTGACAGCAACACAGACTGATTCAAGCCATAATAAAAGGTGTTGCAGTGGTGTAAGTGGGCCGTTATAAAAGCATCCATAACTCGTTCAGAGTCCCTTGGAAGTAAACAGTGCTTACTGTCAGCAAGAGTCCTCACATGACAGAAACTGTCTGAACAGCAGAGGTTATCTGTTTGTCTAGCTTTAAAAAACTGATGAAGAACACTCCAGTTTCTGACAAAGCGTGAACAGTAAAAAGCTAGAGGTCCAAATTCAGCAGCGCCATGTAAAAAAGCATTTAGTTTTTAGCAATTTTCATTTTAATTTTAACTAAGACTATGGTGCTCAATCAGAAAAAAGGTTGGAGTTCTCCCTCTGGGTTTGAGATGAGTCTTTGCCTCAAACTGAGTATCTGATACTTGTTTACAACTGATGGTGGGATGTAACGGGGGTGAGACATTCATCCCCCACTCCGTCCTACTAATACTCAACAAAACACTCAAAGAAAGCATTTCACAATTTTCATAGAGTGTTTTTTTTTTAATAGAAACATATCCCCGGAAAAAAAATAGAGTTTATCCAGAGGTTCCCAGAATGCTGAGTGATCTGAACTGATGTTGGATGCATGAGCACAAACAGTCAGAACCTTCCCTCCTGCAGCTTGATGCTGCAGAGCGGTGACCCACTCAAACACCGGGGACAAACCCACCACGGGCTCGTGTGCACCCCCACAGCTGCTTGCCGCTTCGCTTCCTGGACAACTCCATAGTAGAAAAGAGCAAAGTTCCTCTCCAGGAGTTCCAGAGCCCAAGCTGCATACAGAGCTCGTTGGTATCGCTCAACTTCACACACAAGCTCAAACTCCTTACCCACCAGAAAGGCGACATTCTAGAACTAGTCTAGGCCACCATGAGTCTGCACATGCAGGGGCTCTCACCTGTCTGTGGATCAGGTTACAGCTTGTGAGGGTGTGAGCTATTCCTCTGTTACAGCTGGTTCCAAGAGAACGCTCACTTTATAATACACTCCCCCGTTTTAAATCTTAACACTACGGCCCAAAATAAAAACTTGTTCCCGTTCAAGGGTTAAACTCAAACTGTTCGAAGGTTTCTGTTCAGTTCTGTTGTCATTTGATGCAGATATCTTTTTTAATACTAAAGCATTGGCTTCTGTATGTTTTCAAAGGGACCTGCTGGCAGGAGCTGACAGCATCCCTATGTCTTCTTAACATTATGTGACATTTGATGGATAGTAGATCATAAGTAAAACTAAAGAGAAAGGAACAGGTTAAACAGCCGCTGTGTGGCTAACGGCATGTCATTAACCTATCTGCCCTATTATCACATTCAAACCTTTATTTCTTGTTTTGTTCCTCTTTTATTTTCTGCCCTTTTTTAAAATTTTGTCTGACTTTTCATAATTCATGTCAGAAGAATGGTTTTCATGAATAAAAACAGGTTTTGTATTTTGAATAGTGACGTTTCAGTAAGAACTCCTTTCTTTCCTGTCTCACACAGATCAGCTTCGGAACAGCTACCAAGTAGGTGATGACCATTCACTGAGGGTTGTCTATGCCAATGGGATGGACACCCATTACCAGACGGAGCCACATATACTCGCAGGTACGTCCTCACAGCAGTTTCATATTCAACTTGAGAATTCCTTGAAGGAACGCATGTCACCCACCGCTTGAGTTTTAGACTAAAATCATAGTGTGTTAAGGAGGATGGATGGAGCCATTTAGTAATGGCAGCTGTGCTTAGAGCAGTCGTCCTCCAATGCAAGAGTTGGGGGTTCGAATCCACCAGTCACATGCCAAAGTGTCCCTGGGGAAGACACTGAACCCCTCATTAGCTTTGTTTACATGCACAAAATTATTATGGTGGAGACGTTCCTGCACTCCCTCACTGAGCTACAGGTGACACAGATCATTTTGAGCTCTTTCAAAGTTTCTAGTAGAAATGTTGTCGCTCACAGACCAGTTTTACTGCCCCGACATGCTAATATTATTAGCATTAGCCGGCGGAAATGACATAAGTCGCACATGCACAGTCAGGTCAGTTTTTCACGATCTGAAAACATGAACAGATCAAGCGTTTACATGGACACTGTTCACGTTATGAATCGACGTAAACCACCCGTTTCGTTCTGATCACTAATTATTTCGGATCACGCTGAATAAACAAAAAATAACCCGAACGGGCCGTTTCATATGATTACTTATGTCCATGGAAACATAGCTAGTGCCTCTGATGTGTGTCGGTGTATGAATGTGACAAAGCTCTGATTATTATTTGTACAGATCTAGTATAGAGCTGTATGAATGAGGCACAGATTGTTGTAAAGAGCTTGGAGTGTCTCGATCGGATAGAAAGGTGCTAAATACAGTAAGTGCAGTCCATTTACCATTTAAATCTTGAAACGTAATGTTTCTGTAATTTGATGCATGATCTTGCATGATGCGTTCGGCCCTGGTCACATGTGTTGCTGCTGTCCATCTGTAGCTGTGTGACTGTAGCCTGATGACACAGGGCTGAACTCCCTCAGTGCTGAAAACATCTTCACTCAAAATGCTGGTGAAGATTCTCAGTCATCCAGGGCATGGTGGGTCAAAAAAGATTTAAAACATCTGGACTGCTATTCTGAAGCTGATTAAAAACATCTGGACTGCTATTCTGAAGCTGAAGACGTCTCACTTCCCGTCCAGGAGGCTTTATCAATTCAAATCAAATCAATTTTTATACATTTTGTTTAACTGATAAAGCCTCCCAGATAGGAAGTGAAACATCTTGAACTTCAGAACAGAAGTGCAGTTCTTTTGTTTTTTAACCTTTTTGAGGGGAGAAGTTTCCTGAAGGTATCTAACAAAGTTAAGTCTGGTCCTCTGGACAGATTCTTCTTCTTGAAACATTTTGTCTTTTATCCAGAAGACTTCTTCAGTCTGAGGAGCTGCAACAAACCCAGTCTTATGAATAACTCCTTCTCATAGTGGATCAACCTGTTTAGTGGTAAAAGATAAAAACTAACTGTCACATCATAACGGAGGACCACAGCCTAACATCTGATTGTTCGTGCCCTGATGGCTGCTTGCTGTTCACAGAGAATTATTATTATTACTATTATTATATTATAATTCTTATTCTCTGTGAACAGCAAGCAGCCATGGGGCACTAACAATGAATTGTTAGGCTGATGGTCCTCCGTTATGATGTGAACAGCTAGTTCTGGATGTCAACAACAAACTGGTTGGTCATCATTAACTTCACGCAGACTCTCCCACTGGTACATTTTCATCTTTAAATCACTTCTTGGTCTGCTGCCTTCATACATCTCCTCCTACATGTCACATGGTCAGTGCAGCTACAGCGTGCGCTCTCAGGACATCATTACGTGCAGTGTCCCCTCAGTGCAGCCTGAATTTGGCTAAAAGATCTTCTCTTACTCTGCTCCTGTTTCCTGGAACACCAATAAACATCTGAAGTTGTCAACTTTGACCTCTCTAAAGGATTTTAAACAACTGTTAAGATCCTGGTAAACAATAACACAGACATGTTCCTGTTTTAGTGTTTTACCTCATTGTTTTTATTTCATTTTATATCACTACTTTGATTTACTTATGGATGCTTCCTGACTGTGCAGCTACCCATCCAGGCTGTCACATTGTAAAGTTTGCAGATGATACAGCGGTGGTGGGATGCATCACAAACAACGATGAGTCCAGCTACAGGCAGGAGGTGGAACACCTGGAGAGCTGGTGCAGAGAGAATAACCTTCACATCAACGTGAAGAAAACCAAGGAGATGATTGTGCACTTCAGAAGGAACAAAAACACCTACACCCCCCTGAACATAAGAGGATCTGCAGTGGAAGTGGTCTCCAGCTACAAGTACTTGGGTGTGCACATGAACAACAACCTCAGCTGGAGCAACAACACCAGAAAGAAAAACTTTGCAGAGAGTGGTGAAGGCTGCACAGAAGATGTTGGAGTCAGTCTCCCCACCATCACAGACATCTACACCTCCAGATGCAGGAAGAGGGCCACCTGCATCATGAAGGACCCCACTCACCCAGCACACACACTTTTTGCCCCACTCCCCTCAGGAAGGAGGTTGAGGAGCATTAAGTGTAGAACCACTAGACTGAGGAACAGCTTCTACCCTGAGGCTGTTAGACTCATGAATCTCTAACCAGGAGAATCACTGTGATGCCACTTGGTTGTTGATATGTGCTGCTGATTATCCAGGCTCATGTTCGTGCTGCTGTTGTTTGGCACATTGTTTTGTACTAGTAGTGCTTAGTATATTCTTAGTTTAGCGTATTTCTTACTTTATATCTTAGATCTTATTACTGTTTTTTGTTTACAATTTGTATTTTTGTTGGATGTAACTGGGACCATGTGTACACAATTTTGTTCCACCTCGTGTACCACATGTGGTGCGAATGACAATAAAAACACCTTGACTTTGACCTTCCTGGATGCCTTTGTAGGGAGGTGCTTTGGGCGTGTCCGACTGTCAGTTTAACTCTTACATTAAATGCTTTGGGACGATATGCATTTCGTCAAGAAATATCAAACCTTAAATACTTCCCAAAATTTTTTGCACAATAAATAATTTTGGATTTCAAGGCTGTTTTGTATCCAAACAGGTGCTGCTAACCCTACGGTTGCTCGACGCAACATGACCCTGCCAGGAGAGAATGGGCAGAACCTGGTGGAGTGGAGGTTCAGGAAGGAGCAGACACGTGGAAAAGTCATTGTTTTTGGGAGAAAGCTGCGGGTCAGTCATCATTTAAAGCTGCCAACAAGCAGAGAAGCTGTGAAAGACAAACGAATAGTGTCAGAGGATTACATCAGGCCCTTTAAATAAAACCAGTTTAACCATGTATTCATCATAAAGAATAAATGTCAAAGTGGGATGTTGTTTAAAATGCTCCAAACAGAATGTTATAAAATGACCACATGTAGCGTAAAAGATAATAAATGCAAAAAGAATTATATATTTTAATTGATGTGCTGCTGCTTACTTTAAGTTGTTTTGGATTACTGCCCATTTTTGATTAGAATGTTTTGCTTAAAGCTGTCCACACCTTGAATCAGCCTTTATTTAAAAGTGTGTTCAGATTCATCACTTTCTTTGTTTAATCATTTTATTCAGTTTATAGAGCACAGTCACTGTCACTGCAGGACACTGTTCAACAAAAACAAGAAGTCCAGTTCAATTTACATCCAGTTACTGGTACAGTCAAATGAATTCAATTATTCTGCAATAAAATCACATACACAATATATTAAAAAATACCAATTAGTGGGGGAGTGGTGGTGCAGAGGTAGGAGAAGGTGGGCCTGTGATCGGAAGGTCGCCGGTTCAACTCCCCGGACTGACATCATCAAACTATGGGTGGGAAAGGTGAAACACCCACACCTGCCTCTACCCTCATTTGACCCACTCTGGGCCCTTGAGCAAGGCCCTTAACCACCATCTGCTCCCCCATGTGAGCAGCTCTGCTCCACACAGATGCTGTGGTCGCTCGGTGGTCTGTGGTTGCGTCAGGAAGGACATCCGGAGTAAAAATAATTGCCACGTCTTTGTGCATGTTAGTTGCTGTGGCGACCCCTGAAGAAGGGAACAGCTTAAAGGAGAAAAAAATCAAATAAAAAACTATTAGTACAACGATGGCAGCACGGTGGTGCAACTGGTAGAGCTGCTGCCTCTCAGCGAGCAGGTCTCTGGTTCAAATCCCGGTCCGGGGATCTTTCTGTGTGGAGTTTGCATGTTCTCTCCATGCAGGCGTGGGTTTTCTCCGGGTACTCCGGTTTCTTCCCACAGACCAAAAACTTGCATGTTAGACTGATTGGTGACTCTAAATTGTCCCTAGATATGAGAGAGAGAGAGAGTGAATGGTCGTTTGTCTCTATGTGTCCCTGTGGTGGACTGGAGACCTGTCCAGGGTGTACCCCGCCCCCCGCACAGTGATTGCTGGACATGGGCACCGGCGACCCCCGTGACCCAAAAATGGAAGAAGCGGGTAAAAGATAATGGATGGATGGATGGATAGTACAACAATTGTTTAAAATGCCCTCACGTTGGTCACAGTGAAAAGAAACAACCCCCTTTTAACTGTAAGAAACTCAACACAACCAGAAGCAGCCTTGGGTATTGTGACTAACTTAATTTTATTTATAAAGAATCTAATGAAGTCATCCATGCTGAGAGCTATAAGGATACAAGGCTCAACAAAGTTAAGACAAGATATTCTTGTTCTCCGCTATTAAAGATTACTAAGATACAGTTCTAGCTTTACGAACAGCTTTCTTGTATGTTAGCAGAGTATCTCTCCTGGTTAAATAAAATTCTTCCATGTTACTGGAACACCATTTTCCACAACTTTCTAGGAGCCTCTTTTAAAGTACACAACTCTGAATTAAATCAAGCAGCAAGCTTCCTCTGACTGATCACCTTCTTTTTCAGAGGAGCAACTTTACCAAGTGATAAAAGGTTTTTAAGCTCAATTGTCCACATAGATGACAACAAAAAAGGTTAAATCATATCATCTGGACAAGTTCCTTTAAGGGAGAAGCGTTTCGTCTTTCATCCGACAAAACATTTCTCCCTTAAAGAAGCTTGTCTTTTGGATGGATTCTTCTTGTTGATACGTTCTTCAGTCTGACTGCAGCACACTCACATAGTGGACCAACCAGTTGATGGTGATAAGATGGTTTCTGGAGTCTGCCTTCTCCCCCATCCACTCCTCTGAGGCAGCCGTAGAACAAAGTGGTTCAAAACATCAAAGTTCATGCTCAATAATCCAGGTAGAAACTCCAACAAAGTTCAGTCAGGTTCTCTGGACGGTTTCTTTTGGTTGAAACGTTTCGTCCTTCATCCAAAAGACTTCATCAGTCCGAGGAGCCGCAACAAACTCAATCTTATAAAAATAATAAAAATAAATAAATAAAAATGGTAACAATAGTAATTAATTGTCACAATCCTCAGTGTTGGAACCCAATTGCAGAGAGGCGAGCGAGGCAGGAGTTTAAAAATAAAAATAATTTATTTTTAATAACAAAACAAAAGGCTGTCGGTGCAGCAAAACTTACTTGGGCAGACAGGATCAGAAACAAGGCAGAGCAGATAATCAGGTGGACAAGAAACAGCCAAGACAGAAGAGGACTGAGATGTCTGTAAACACAGAACAATGACCGGACAAGGAGTGAAGGAGAGAAAGGCTTTTTATAAGGCAGAGGGAGAGTGAGTAATGAGAGCACCTGGGCAGGTGGCTGATGAGGGACAGGTGTGAATGATAAAGACTGAGGAGTGGAGAGGCAGACTGAGGAGTGAGTGGAAAACAGGACCAGATACACAAAAACAGAAAACACACAAGGAGCAGAGGCTTAGGCAGATGGGGGGCAGCGGGGGCCGCTGACCGTGACAGGAGTGGAGAGGCAGACTGAGGAGTGAATGATAAAAACTGAGGAGTGGAGAGGCAGACTGAGGAGTGAGTGGAAAACAGGACC